ATTTAAATTAGTTTGTTTACATATTAAAATTTAACATTTGTCTTTAAAAAATAACATTTTGAAATAAAATTATTAGCATAATCATGACCTAGCATCCCATAATAAAGTAACAATATTGTTCCGAATCTCCTTCATCTCATAATAATAATAATAATAATAATAATAATAATAATAATAATAATAATAATAATAATAATAATAATAATAATAATAATAATAATAATAATAATAATAATAATTATAATAATTTTAATTTTAATTGGAAAGAGTAAATGATGTCAATATTTTGGGAGGGACATAGTAACCCGGGGGCTAGATCCTAATCATTTCTTTAAAATAATAAGGACAAAGGGAAAAAAAAGTTAGGAAGCTACTAGCTTATTTTGAAACGCTACTTAATAATGATATCATATTCGGTACATATAATGTATATATATTATGGGGTTTTTTGTGAAATAGATATTAACTGATTGAGTTAGTGGGTTTGACTAGTTGATAATATTAGTTGATTGTAGAAAAGTATTTGGTAAATTAGCTGATAGCTGATTACATGCAAAATGATTTTCTCAAAAAGCTAATTAACCAAACACTCATATTGATTGTTTAACCAAGTCAAACAGCGCAGCTAATAATGGTCAAAAAACCAAAATTGATTGATAGACTAATTATTTTATCAAACATGACCTATATATTATAATTATTGTATTCTTATTTATAAGATAGTGAATTTAGGGGTGTAAACGAGCCGAGCCGAGTCCGAGCCTGGGTAGGCTCATGCTCAAGCTCGTTAATGATAGCACTGCTCGAGCTCGAGCTCGAGCTCGTTCGAACTCGTGAACTGATGCTCGAGCTCGAGCTCGGCAATTGTCGAGCTGCTCGAGCTCGAGCTCGAATTCGAGCCTGAACTCGAGCTCGAGTTTAGGCTCGAATTCGAACTCGAGTTTAGGTTTGAATTTGAGCTCAATTTTGATATCAAATTTGACCTGTTTGATTTAAAATTTAAACTACTTTGTTTTATAACTTTTATGCATACATAATTATCAAACTATTTTAATTTTCCTCCCCTAATTATTATTTTTATATACTAAATATAATATAATCATATTACGGAGTATATATTATATATATTATATAATATATTATAAGGCTCGCGAGCGGCTCGTCGAACCGCGAGCCTACAATACCTAAGCTCGGCTCGTGCTCGTTTAATCCACGAGCTGCTCGAGCTCGAGCCGAGCTCGATTTTGACCGAGTTCGAGCCGAGCGTTGACCGAACCGCTCACGAGCGACTCTCGAGCGGCTTGGCTCATTTACACCCCTAAGTGAATTTGGTCATGTTTAGAGTCCAGGTTCATTTAGCATTTGGACAATTTCTACTTAAAACTAATCACACATCACTCCATTAATTTTAATTTTGATTTGTAAATTTCCACTTCCCTTCCTCTTCATTTGATAATTTCTAGTCTTGATTTGTAGAAAATAGTTTTTACACATCACTCCACTAATTTTTACAAATGAGGAGGAAGGAAAGTGGAAATTTACAAATCAAAATTAAAATTAATTGAGTGATGTGTGATTAGTTTTAACTAGAAATTATCGCCAAATGAACCTAGACTCTAAACAAGACCACATGTCCACATTCACTATCTTATAAATAAAAATACAATAATTATAATATATGGGCATTTTTTAATAAAATAGTTAGTCTATCAGTCAATTTTGACTTTTTGATCATTATTAAATGTTTGATTTGATTAAACAATCAATATGACTGTTTGATTAATTAGTTTTTGTGATACCCTGAAATTTATTCTCGAAAAGCCAAATTGATTTCTCCTAAATATTTGCTAATGATGAATTTAATTATCCTACTTACATTTTGATCTCCTTTGACTTTTGCCTTGAATAAGGGAATTATTTTGACCCAATCCCTTAAGCTTTTGGAAAGAATGATTTATTTGGACTCTATTTAATGCATTGTTGGACCTTAAAAGCATAAGTATATCTCCACTAGCCTATTTAATAAAAGTAATGGGCCCATACCATATACTTGTTAACTTGTGGCCCAAGCTACATTTCTCCGCAAATTATGCTGTGCAACCGAATGCACCTTGCAAGGTGCATACGGTTGCAAAACGGCGCCGTTTTGGTTAAAAAAACGCGCGTCCCACTTAAAGAAGAAATCAGGTTCGATTCCCGGCAATAGCATTTTTATATATCCAGAAATTCATAACTATATAACCACAATTTCATAACTATATATCCACAATTTCATAACTATATATCCACAGTGAATGAATGAAGTAAAAATCCACAATGAATGAATGAATGAAGTAAAAATCCACAATGAATGAATGAATGAAGTAAAAATCCACAATGAATGAATGAATGAAGTAAAAATCCACAATGAATGAATGAATGAAGTAAAAATCCACAATGAATGAACTAAATATCCACAATATATGATTGAACTAAATATCCACAATGAATGAACTAAATATCTATAAATTCATAACTATATAACCACAATTTCATAACTATATATCCACAATTTCATAATTATATATCCACAATAATGCTATTGCTGAGAGTCGAACCTGATTTTTTTTTTAAAGTAGGACGCGCGTTTTTAATCAAAACGACGTCGTTTTGAACCGTATGCACCATGCGCATGGTACATTCGGTTGCACAGCATAACTATTGACATTTCTCACCCTAGTTCCCTTACCCTTGAATTCACATCACTTAGCTAGCATCACACTCAAAACTTTTCAGCTCACTCCCACTACTCCACACGCCATTTTCACCATTTTTCCCTACTAAAAGTGTTCTTCATTTCCCCAACCTAGAAGACCAAGCAAGTTCCCACCTTTCATACTCACCAAGCCTAGGAAGGGTAAGAAATAGATATTTAGAGTTTTTATTAGTGGTTTTCTTACTTCTTTATCTAAGATTTTACTCTTTGTGTTTGGGTTTGGGATCTTGGTTGAAGATCATGTTGATGAGGATGTGCTAGGGTGACTTTGAGGAAGGATTAAAGGTTTTGCTGAGCTAAGAGGTAACCCCATGTCCATGAAAACCTACTTTAAACTATACAATGTGTATTCTTGACATTCTTGTGTTGTATGAGCATATTCTTGTGTTTATGTTCATTTTAGAGCTTGTATCTAGGTTGTATGATGTTCTTTGATGTGCTATTCCTTCTATTCAAGTCATATTTGTTGTTGATGAGTGTATTGATGTATTTGGACTTGGATTGCACATTCTTGGAATTTTTTCCCGAAGTTGGATTTCTTCTACTGTTACGGTACCAGCGGGTACTTCTGGCGGGTAGTTTGCCACCCGCCAGAACCCCCCGTCAGTACCTTGTTCCCCGTGGTACGTTTTGGCGGGCACTTTGCCACCCGCCCGAACCGCCCACTGGTACGTTTTGTTGATTTCTTGATTTGTTGTTCCCCGGTTGTTTGTGAGTATTTATTGATGTCTTGTAAGACTAAAGCGGTGTATTATGAACCCCATGATTAGGATTTTTAGTCTTGAATCGTGATTAATATCCAATATTGCTATTCGTTGGATTATTTGTTGAAGTTTATGATGTTCATATGAATCCTTGTGATTACCCTTTGACTTGTGTATTAACATGTTGTTTCTTGATGCTAGTATAATTTTCTTGTGATAGCCTTTGCTTGATTCTTGATTGAGTTGATAACTTGAGCTTATCTATTCGTTGTAATACTTTGTTGGAATCCGTTGTCGTTGAGCCTTTGTCTTTGGAATATCCTTCTTGTAATCTCTTTTGATATCCGTTTGAACTATCGTTTTGAGCTTGTACTCTTGTTGTATCTTATTATTTGAGAATTCCTTGGATTGAGCTATTGTTTGAGCTTATTCGTTGTTGAATACACTTCTTGTAGAATCTATTCCTTTGTTTTATCTCTTATGATTCCTTGTGTATTGAACTCGTGTTGTGATGATTGAGCTGGAACTGTGGACAGTGTGGGGATTTCTTACAGATTCGGGATGTTGGTTTGACGGACAACTTGTCGAAACGAATCCAGGTTTTCAGACCTATTTCTACTTATTGGGGGTTGGAGGTCCCAATAGGGGTGTATACACTTAAGGATTTATGGATGTCTCCAAGGGTCGAGCTTTGACCCCTCGAAACCACGATTATATCCTGTTGAGTTGTTGCGATGACTCTGCGGAATCTTTTTAGATAGTGGTATTACCACGTTTGGGTCGTTGCAATGACCTCGGTTGCATCTCTTGTGTTACTTGTTGGGATTGAGCCCTCCACACTGATTCACCATTGATTGAGTTGTTGGAATTGACTTCGTGATGAATACTTGTTGAATCTGTCCTTTGTGGACTTGGTAACTTGAGATTGATGTTGATTGCATGACCTTGATGAGAACTATCCTTGTTGATTGCTATGATTGTCTTACCTTGATCTTTATTATATTCTTGATCATTATCGCTATCTCATTGATTCCGTTGATTCTGTTGATCTTGTGGTCAGTTGTGTACTGTTGAGTGTATCTCTTGTGTGGTTTGGCTTTGAGTCCATTCCTCGTGATTTTACTGATTAGAGTTGATTGGATATACTTATGTATTCCCAAGTCTTAAAACTATTTTAAGTATCAAATGTATATCTATGTATCTTTACACATTGGAGTGTGGTTACTTAGCATAATCGCTAAGGTTATTTAAAATGTTTTCAGGTACCGTTAGTCAGTTCGAGAGTGCGTAGATGGAGCCTCAAGCTAGACTTAGCCTTACCTTTCTAGCACTTATATCTTTTGGCCTGTGAGCCACCTTGGATATTGATGTTTTGGATAGTTATTTTTGTGTAAGCTTGTGCATCTAGGTTTGGATGACTTAGATGTGGCATAACACTCCTTCAGGACTCCAGTAGCTATATACGACTTGTTGGGCGTCTCCTATATCTCACCTCTACAAGGCCGGATATCACATATGTGGTACAACAACTAAGTTAATTCATGGATACACCAACAAGTGAGCACCTAGTCGCAGCACACCGTGTTCTAAGATACATAAAGAAAGCTCCCGGTCAGGGGACATTCTACCCCTGGAATGGTGCAATGCAGTTGAACGTATTCTCCGATTCTGATTGGGCATCATGTCCGGAGACACGTAGATCAGTGACTGGCTTTTGCATTTTTCTTGGTACTGCTCCTATTTCGTGGAGAACGAAGAAACAATCTACTGTTTCTCGTTCGTCCTCCGAGGTTGAATATCGGGCTCTTGCCGCAACCGTCTATGAGGTCCAGTGGATTATAACATTGCTTCATGATTTACAGATTGAGATGATTAGGCTTGCTGCCATCTTTTGTGATACTAAATCGGCAATCGCCATCGGAGAGAATTGTAACACCCCGTGTTACGACCCCTAAGATCAATTAAATCATCTAATCAATTACCCAAAAGAAAGAATTAAATCACAATAATTAATTAGGAAGGCCCACCATAGTCCACGAGCCCTTATCCCTAAACCCAATCCTTAGTCCCAAAAGAAATAGAACTAGCAAGCCCATAATATTAGTTCCTAACTAGGACATCTAAATATATAAATAGGGGACTTAAGAGGCACCTAGAAACCCCCACCACAAGAATAACGCCCACCACCCCAAAGAGCTCCAAGAATCCCCCTAGAAGAAATCAAAAAAGCAAGAAAGCTTAAAGAAAGACCCTTCATAGCCAAGGAATTAATTAAGGCTAAGAGGTAACCCATGTCTCAACAAAACCTATTTTCATAGCTATGATTTCCCACGTAGGATTTCCCCATATTATTGTGTATTGATGATTTGCGATATTTTTGTTGATGATTGACGGGATAATTCCATGGGTGATCTTGATATTGAGAGATTCTTGATAATTATGATGTTCTTGATGATTACGTGGAGTTCTTGATGTTCATATGTCATTCTTGATAATTGTATACGCTTATGTGTTATTTGCACCAAATCTTGTAATTGGAGGACGAATCGTATTCTTGTGGGTATAAAAGTGATTAGAACCCTAGGTTGTATCGTATGATATCATTCTTGGTTTATCGGGTGGTAAATTGCATGTTTGGGGTGTTGATTATGTTAGAAAAGCATGATAGGTTATGTGCCGTACGTTCCTCGTATTTGATCCGTTAATTGACTACGTGTTGATCGTTAATTGCGTTGTAAAGTGTCTAAGCATGGTTTCGGGTTCCACAATGGTTCCCGGGACGTTTTTGTGATGAAAAGAGTCAGTGGGGGGTAGGGGACCCGCCACCTACCCGCGGCAAGTCGGGCAGTCCCGGCAGCGGGCAGCCGGCGGGCGGGCAGCTGCCCGCCGGGCACCCACTGCCCGGAACAGTACACGCCGGCGGGTGGACCCCCACCCACCGGCTACCCGCTGGAAAATACCCCAACCCGAGGATTTTGGCTTCCCCGTTTGATGTTTCCCCGACCCCCGTGGTGTCCTAACGGACTCCGTCTATCGTGCCTATGTCTAGTTTGATGTTTCGGGTACCGTTCGTAGGTTGTATGAGTCTTATATATTGCATGCTAGTTGAATTGGTATCCCGTTGACCTAGGTGAAAGGAGTATGAACCCCTTAGGACCATTCTTAGTATGTGAAGGATCACGCATAGGTTTTGTTATACGTTTTCTCCCCCTTCCCAATGTGTTAATGTGGATTGCATGTACTTGCTATGTGTTATGTGTGCACGTAACCCCGAATTGGTTAAGATCAATCGGGCTATACGGGCAGTCGGGTGGGCTGAGAACCATATCGGCTGTTAACCAGGCTGGTAGAGACCGGTCAGGTATATAAATATTATATAGGACTAAGTTCCACTATACGGGCAGTCGGATGGGCTGAGAACCATACCGGCTGTTAACCAGGCTGGTAGGGACCGGTCAGGTATATAAATATTATATAGGACAAAGGTCCACTATACGGGCAGTTGAATGGGCTGAGAACCATCCCAACTGTTAACCAGGCTGGTAAAGACCGGTCATGTATATAAATATTATGTAGGACAAAGGTCCATCAGTCGGTTGCGATCGGCTCCTCCGTAATGTGAGGCGGGGCAGGGTGCTGCGGGGCCGTGTCAGAGCTATATGCGCTGACCCTCATGTATGGGCATGAGATTGGTCCTGTGGCGCCAACAAAGTGTGCTTTGTGATGAGATATAGATGAGTTGTGTTTATGAGTATATTGGGAGATGTGACTATGGGATTATGCCGGGGATTGTTTACATTGGGTTATGATTATTTATTGTGCTCATCTCTATCTATCTTGCCTGTGGAGGATTGTATACGCCTGTTATAACTGTTGCTTGTGTCGAGCCTTATCTGTCGAGTCATTCCCGGTTTCAAAAGCTAGAGTCTCATAGGATATATCTTCATGCTTTAAAATGGTTTTCGTATATCTATATATATCTCTATATGTATTGTATTTCAACGCGTTGGAGTGGGTTACCAGCATCTCTCGCTGAACAGATATATTTGGCTTTCAGGCACAGACGAGTAGTTCACTGGAGCGCGCTAGAAGCTTGGACGTAGTTTAGATAGTTTTTCCCTTTCGGCCTGCGTGCCATGATTTAGTACTGATGCTATTTGAGGATATTAGTCAGTTAGCCTGTGCACCTGAGTTTTCTAGCTTAGGTGTGGCATAGCACCCCATACTCTTGTACTATGTTTTGGGATTCAACGAGATTTCACCTTTATTTTATAAGTTTTAAATATCCTGAAAATCTGGGGTGTTACAAGAATCACGTATTCCACGAACGAACAAAACATATCGAAATCGACTGCCATATCATTTGCGAGAAAGTCAGCCAAGGATTAGTCAAGCTCCTCTCCGTCTCATCGTCTGGCCAAGTTGCTGACGGGTTCACCAAAGCTCTTCCCACTTCACTTTTTCAACTCTTCCTCTCTAAGCTGGGCACTCAAGATCTTCATGCGTAAGCTTAGGGCGCCGGGGGGGGGGGGGGGGGTAACAGAGAGAAGCAAGGCTAAGGCTAAGTATAAAGAAGGGCAACAATGTAATTCCCCATCTATAATCAGTTATGAAGTGTAATCGCCTTTTTATTCGTATTTAGCTAGAATGCAAACAACAGCGTTTAGTAGTTGCTTCCCATTCAGCTCATCAATGACACCCTTCGTTCGTTCCCTCGCATCGACTTGATTTTCCATCTCCAATAGTAAGCAATACAATTAAGAATTGGCTTACTTCAAGTAAATGATCTTATACTTGTAGCTCATCAACAAACCGTCTACATTTTGGCACCATCTACTTGTGGTCAATCACATCATCCATGGACATTTTGACACACACAAGGCAATATGGCACACACAATGCAGAATGACACACACTCATTCTCTACGTTATGACATAGTCATTTTAACGCAAGTGCACACAAAATTGTTTAACATCATCATGGTTTACATGGATTCAATCTATTAGAATTTTTTTGCACATAATAGCACACACAGATCAACCTAAGTGCAAGCCAGTTCATGGTCAGAATAATTCTACACATTATGGCACACTCAGTTTTACTCAAGTGCACAACGTCATCTTTAACATCATCCTAGTTTACGCATATTCGATCTATCAGTATTTTTGCACATTATGGCACTCACAGTTAACCTAAGAGCTATATTCTATATAGCATTTTTTTCTAGTGTAATTTAATTTTAATTTATTAATAAAGAAAAGTAATGATATAATAGAGGGTACAGTAGGAAAAATAATAATAAAAATACTAAAATTAAAATAATATGAACCATTCATTTCAACAAATAATTACACTAACATATACTAAAATTAAAATAATATGAACCATTCATTTCAACAAATAATTAAACTAACATTTCTTAGTTCGGCCTAACTTTATTGGCTCTTATTAAATTTGTAGATAGATGTAGATGTAGATTTTTCTTAAAATGTTCTATACTTTAAATATAAATTCCATTTAAAAAACAAAACTCACTTGAATACCATCTTCATTTTTATTTTATTATTTTTTATTTTTTCTAAAAAATAAAAAGTTTCCAAAAATTATGGCATACTCAGTTTTATGCAAGTGCACAAAGTCATCTTTAACATCATCCTGGTTTACGCGAATTTGATCTATCAGTTGGACTTCAAACTTCAATTATATAAAAGATGAATCAGGATGGTGATGGTGAAGTGATATTGAATGGGTCACTGGCTAAAGTGGTATCATATCTTCCAATTGTTCTAAGGTTTAAATGTCTATTTGTAAATCCCAGTGATGCAAGAAACTTAACGCGGCATGCATATCAAAAAGTTTTTTATGAAAAGCTTCAACACCCAGCTAATTCCTTGAATGGAAAACAATTGACAATAATTCATTTCCCGAATTTAGCAATGAAGAAATCTTAGACTTACTTTGTATCTATGGAATTAATTCACATGGAAATCTTAGTAGTAAGCACATCTCGTGGCCTGTTATGTTGGTAATCTACAATCTACCTTTTTGGTTGTGTATGAAATGTAAGTATATATTGTTGTGTTTGATGATTTCTAGACCAAAATAACCGGGGAATGACACAGACATCATTTTGGCACCTTTAATTGATGATTTGAAAAAGTTGTGGGATGAAGGTGTGCTAATATTTGATACATATCGAAACGAGTCATTTAAATTGCGTGCCATGATCTCCTGCCTTATGACAATTTTTCTGGGTATAGTGTTAAAGGATATAAAGCATGTCCTATATGTGAAGAAGACACATGTTATCAACAACTTATTCTTTGAAAAAAGACAGTCTATGGTAATCAGAGATTTCTTCATAGATTCCACCCTTATCGGAGATTAAAAAGGTTTTTAATTGGTTGCAAGACTATGCTAATGTTCCACATGCAATAATGGATATGCAAGCTTATGAACGAATGAAAAATATAAATATTATTTTTGGCAAGGTCCTACAACTTAAATCTCAAAAAGGCAAGAGACGGAAGAAATCTAATGTTGAGATACCTCCAGCTAAGAAGAGTCAACGGAGAAAAATGTCTATATTCTTTGATCTTTCATATTGGAATTGAAGTTGTTAGACATGACATATTATTGATGTTATGCATGTTGAAAAAATGTGTGTGATAACTTTGTTGGAACACTTCTAGATATAAAGGATAAGGCTAAAGATGGACTCAAAACTAGATTAGACTAGGAAGAGATGAGTATATGACCTAAATTAGCTCCACACTCAATGGGGAAGAAGACATATTTGCCTCTAGTTGCTTATACTCTGCCAAGAAATGAGAAAATAAGTTTATGTGAATGTTTACATAGAGTTAAAGTCCCATAATGGTATTCTTCAAATATCAAAAGGCTTGTGAACATGTAAGATATAAAGTTGGTGGGGTTGAAATCTCATGACTGTTATGCCTTAATGCAACAACTATTGTCGCTGGCTGTTAGAGTTGTATTGCCTAAAAAGTTGAGACACACACTTATAAGACTTTGTTTCTTCTTCAACGCAACTGACAAATTAGATGATTTGGAGAATGGAATTGTTATTACATTATGCCAATTAGAAATGTACTTTCACCTTCCTTTATATATATATATATATATATATATATATATATATATATATATATATATATAATGGTTCATTTACTTGTACACTTGGTGAGAGAGATTAGACAATGTGGTCTGACTTACTTGAGGTGGACGTACTTGTTAGAACACTACATGAAAGTTCTAAAAGGGTATGTCAGGAATCGATATATGCCAGAAGCATCTGTTGTTTATAGTCATACACTCATTAATGCTGAAGAAGTTGTTAAATTCTTTACCGAGTACTTGTCAGGTGTAGAAACTATTGGTCTTCTCAAGTATCGCTACATTGGGAGAATAGCAAGTAAGGGTACTCAAGGAAGCAAAGTGTTTACTATGAATTGTGAGGATGTTGAGCAAACACTTTTGTACAACTTGCATAATACGAGTGAAGTTGAGCATTATATGGATGAACACGTGTCCCTAGTAAGGGAGCAGAATCCTCAAAGAAGTAACATGTGAATTGCAACTGGGCATAAACGCTTTTGTTGAGTGGTTTAAAAATAAAGTTGTTGACAATAATGTTTTTGAAACTATATAATAGTTAGCTCATGGTCCAAGCATATATATGTCGAATCTTACACTTGGTATAATATTACCGAGTTTTCTTTCCATACAAAGTTTCAAGATGACAAGAGCACTATGCAAAATAGTGGAGTGACTTTGGTAACTAATTCAATGCATTTCAGTAGTTCAAAAATAAAAACCTTGTGTTGGCAGAATTGTCATACTATGAAGTGATTGAAGAAATATGGAGTTTGATTATGTAAAGTTTAAGGTGCCAACGTTCATATGTAGATGGGTAGAGAGTAACCACGGAGTGAAAGTCAATAAGTTTGGATTGGAAAGGTCATAAGAATGATCGCTTCATATTAACATCGCAAGCAAAACAATTTTTTTATGTTAGTGATCCATGTGATCATAGATGGTCTATAGTTTTTCATGAGAAGAAGCAGATTACTGGAGTGATATTACATATCTTAGGGGGCATATTGTGACCTGCAGCAACTGATCTAAGCTTTAGAACCAATCGACGTGTTTGGTTGAGACCTTCGGCTGCTTCTTTGGCTTCTTATAGCGGTTGTTCTCAAACCGAGCTTTGACAATTAGGGTGTAGAGCAATTCTGCCTCTGCTGAAGTATCATACGGTTTGTTTATGATGCTTCAATTCAAACATAGTCCAGAGTTAGAATGAGTGAAGACTGATTAGTGATTGGTTAATTGCAATGCTCAAATAGTATACAATATATATATATAATAATAACAATAACAACTTGTTATTCAAACATCATAATAATCTTGTTATTCAAACATCATAATAATGGTATGAACTTGACGGATATCAATGCTGCATTATGTTTACTTCTCAATAGGTCACCCATGCCATTAATCCCTTCTTGGGACCGGACACGGGGTTTTCGGTTATCTGGTTGTCATATCCTTCTAAGACCAATTGGTGATAAGTAGGTGGACATTAACCATTTAACCACACCCCTTCATGGTAAGCCACAATACCAAGCCTTGAATCGAACGAAGGGTTGAACTCAGCCAACCCGGCCGACACCCAACAGAACTCAGTTTCCCTTAAATCCCTTAAATAAAGGCTCAAGTTTGAAGCTTGTGAATGAAGCAATAAATGTCAATAAAACTCTCCAAATAGGGTCAGACAATAGCCCAACTCTAGATTAGTCAAAACTATGGTAACAATGTTTAAAGCAAATTTTTTTTTTTTCCAAAATTTTAATCTGTTAAGAATTTATTTTCTACTTCATTTCAAGAAACTATTTTGAGGAGGATGCCAAATACCTGTTCAGCAACTCCTCTAGAATGACTCTTTGAGAAGGTGTAACGTAATGTATACAGCTCTTGGGGCACTGTCCGACTGCAACCTGAACTTCATAATCTTCACCTTTCCCTGAGCATGTGAAATATTATAAGGAAAAATCTCGTAAACTAGCATTCCTTTTTTCAGTTGTAATAGTATTAGCTGGGGCTTAAAGCGACACGTGTCCAAATGGGTCTTTAGTCTAATCATGATGAACATTTAGTTCAAATGAGATGAATATTCTTACAAGGCTCACCTAGCTTTGAGTGCTCCCTTCTTCCCTATTATGTACAACAAATGGTTGGAGTATAAATGGTCCATAATAAGATAGATAGAAACCATTCTGTGAGAAGCTTTGATATTTTCTTTCCACCATGTTAAGGACCCTCTGCTAGTTAACAGCATAGACCAACAATTGAACCATTCGTATTCCTATTGAACTTTTATGATAAAGAGCCGAGCACAAACCTTGTGCAGTTGCCTGAGCCAATCCCGTTAAAGAGGAAATGCTAAATGTGTGAGGTGCTTTCTTCACACATGAACTGTAACAACCTGCAGATATTCAAGAAATGACAGATCAAAAGGAATGGAAGAAAAGTTATGCTATCAAATAGCCTTCCGGGATGGCAAGACATCCACACTTGTAATCACAAGGTCACGAGTTCAAATCCTTGCCCCCTTGGTTTGAGCCTATCAGCTATGGGTAACCTAGGTTGGTTTACTTCGTTGTGGTCCTATGCTGGCTAGGTTCACAAGGACGGATTTACCTACACCCGAAAGGGTTCTGGGGTTTCCCTTGTCATAAAAAAAAAAAAAAAAAAAAAAAAAAAAAAAAAAGCCTTCCAGAAGATCGTGCATAGAACATCAAATTTAGAATACTGAACTTTCACTTGCAGTCAGTTATAGTAATAGCAGTATATATATCCGTATGAGCAGATGAAGTACCTTTTCCAATGCAAACAGTCTGATTAACAAACAGATCAAATGCTTCACATTCCGGTTCATCAAAGGGATCCAAACATTCACTGAAAATTGTTCCTCCAAAGTTAGAGTGAATAGTATACAAATTGTATAGTTAACCATGAAAATAAAAAGATAAGTAAAAAATATGTCATATTGTCAACATATTTTAGAAAATGTATTGTCCATGAAACTCATTAAAGAAACATATGGCAACTTTACCTTTCAATAATTTCAGACTTTGTGTAGGCAGATAACATCTGGCAAAATTTTCAAAGACACAAAAATCAGCTATCTAATTGTAACCGCACTAAGCACGAATAACAACAAAGGAAACGTTGTAGTTCTTGACAAATTTTAGCATGATGAACTACTCAAACAATCATTACATACAGTCCATTAAGGTTAGATGCATGGTCTGAACAATGCTCCCCTGCAGATTGAAACACTCGGGCAAGCACAACACCAGATATTGTGAAAGTTAGATTGCGGATTGCATGAAAATGCACGTCGGTTTCAAGTTGAGTGCTGCAGAGAGTAAGCTTCGGGCGATTTACAGGAAATTCTTGAATCCTAAAAGCTAGAGTTTCTATAGTTCTCTTCCCCCTCACCCCAACAAGAGCCCTTCTACCTCCTACCATACAACTTCATCTTGAGTTTCTCAATAAAATTAGCTTTAGGACACTGCTCATGTTAGAATGAATTTTAATGATTTACCATAAGTAAATTCATATATAACCTTAGGAGACATATGGTTTGGACAATACTTTGTTAACATGTAATTTTCTTTGCCATACTTGAGTTGCCTTCAAAGTTATACACAACTACCGAAATCATGTCATTTCTTCACAATGTATGAAGTATAAAATTCACTGAAACTGGTTATATGAAATTCCATCAAAGTTTGATGCAAAAAAATCTAATTTTTAGTAGGTTTTGAAGGTTAAGAGACCCTAAGTGGTGAACTTAAAAGAAAATTCCTCTGAGATGTCTATAGTTACGCTGATATAATAATCAAACTTATAAGTAGTAGTAGAAGAAAGAGGCATGAACAAAATTGGTGTATGTATTATTTGCTCATTGCAAATCATATTTACCTCATAAGCTTCAATAACACGTCTGATCATTAAATCTGAATTTTCACCATCTTTTCTCACATCAGGATGGAACTTCTTAACCTGAATTCAAAATAAAAATTAATTTTTAGTGGCTAGATATTTGGGATATCCATCTCATCAAAGTCTGATTTTTTTTTTTTTAAAAGAATCCCATTTTTCCTACTCATATAACCCTACAGAGGGCCATTGCAATTTCAATACACTAAATAAAACTTTATTAAATATGAAAATGATAAAGTACCCTTGCCCGGAAAGCAGCTTTGATTTGGTCTGGAGAGCAATTGGGTGTAACGCCAAGAATATCATAAGCCAGTGAAGTGGAGAGAGGCCCTTCATCCCCATAGCCTCCACCATAACAATTCAATCTGAATGAAGAAGAAGAAGAAGAAGAAGAAAATGGGTTCTTGAGAGTTGGGGTAAGCTTACAAGGGGTGGAGGGAAAATTGAGAGAATTGGTGGGTGGGAATTGGGGTGAAAGTCTAATTAATGCATTGTTGCCGTATAGAGCTGCAAATTCCATTTCCTCCTTCGTCTCCGGGCCACAACAGTGGATACCATTAGTTGTTGCATGCTTTACAACTAAAAAGGCTTCTCAGTCAAATACAGTTTATGGAATTATGGCCACAGGCCATGGATATTCTTGTGGACCGTAAATTATGACATGGGTAATGAACAGTGATGAAAAGACGAGAATGATATTTTTTTTTTTTTTTGAATGCTACTAGCTCTATTACAATATAGTATCTGTTCATATACTTTCTCAACCTACTGAAACACAAAGAGCCAATAACGCCTCCACTGAAGCTCGAAATCACAATCTTCCAAATGGAAGTCCAACCCGGATACCATTAGACCACATAGTCCTGGTGACGAGAATGATATATAGATATATAATAATTGCATACAGGACGGATCCCCGAACAAGAAGGAATGACGTCGTTTCATCCCCGAACTATTAAGTTGTTGTTGAGTTGTATTTTGATATTTTCTTTACATTTAGATATTTCCCATTTTTAGTATAAAATAGAGAATATTATACTTGTTAGGAATAAAGTGTAATAGTTTTGATGAGCCAAAATTGTATTTTTAGAACTTCCCTATTTTTATTTTGAGTCTAGTTGTCTATTAGTCTAAGTCCCAAGTCAAGCCATAAAGCTTACGAATTTCTTAGCAAAATATAATTATCCAGAATGTTACTATTTGAGAATTATTTACCTTAGAAAACACCAAAGGATTAAGCAATGAAGTGGATAAGGAACAAGGTTGCTAAAGTCAAAGGTCACAGGTTTAAGACTCAATCTCTACCTTTTTGAAAAGGAAATAAAACTAAGGTGTGAAGGGGACGATGAAGGGGAATAAAACTAAGGTGTGAAGGGGCTGATAGAGGACGACCAAGAGGCAGACTCGGATTAATTTATGAATTTATCTAAAATGCTACTAAAGTCATTCTGGGAATAAAGATTATATCCAGAGATATTAATTAATAAGTTAATATGGTGTAGTGGTAAAAGCTTGGGAGATATATTTTGTTGGGCTAATGTTCAAATCTCACTAGAAACATATTTTTGAAAAGATGACACTTGTTAAGTGTGTGACACCCCGAAATCCAAATTCGATTAAGGGATTAATTAAATAATTAATCCTATTTCAATTGGTAATTTAATTCCTAAAATCCTGGAAATTCAATAGTCGGGGACTAATAATTGACTAGTCAATCCCAAAGTCAAAGTTGTACCTTGAGCTTTGTAAGGAGTTCCCTTGTTTCCTTACACCTCTTCATGTTAGTAAGGATATTCTTGACTTTTCACCTTGTGTTAGTATTGTAAGCTAACCTAGTAGAACACCCTCATTTATCTCCTTACACTTTCCAAATTCTAGCTCCAACTTCTCTCTAAAAAGGTAGATAGCTTTTCTTCCAAGCCAAGTTGAAGCTTTGTCAAAACTTCAAGAGTTGTCTCCAAGATTCTACCTTTCATACATTTGGGCATCTAGGAGGGTAAGATCCATGTTCATCTTGTGTTTTTAGTGTTTTCTTAGGTGTCTTTTCTTAAAGATAGAATTTTTGTGATCTTTTGGTGTGTTCTTGAAGTGGGTGTGGAAGGTGAGCTTTGTTAGGAGCTTGGTGAGGTGTTAAGTGAAGGTTTTTGTCTACAAGATGTAACCCATGCTCTACAAAATCTATTTTGCTTACCTATATGATGATTTCTTGGATTCTACATGTGATTTTGCTATGAAATGTGAGTGTTTATGCATTGTCTTGTGAAAATGCATATCTAAAGCTTGTGTTTAGGGTTCTTGTATGCCATTGCTTGGCTATTCCTTTGATTCAAGTCATTTTGTTGTATTTGGTGAGATTTGGCATGTTTTGGACTTAAATTTGAGCTTGGTGTTGAAAATTCCCGAATGGATTATTTTGGGCATAGGTGTGTACCCGCGGGCGGAACGGCGGGCAGAGCCCTACCCGCCGCCCCACCCGCGGGAACGTGGCTTGTGGGTGTTGGTACCCGTGGGTCCACCCGCGGGGTACAATGTATGGTTGTTGAGGGATTTGTTCCCGGTGATTCTTTTGACTCGGTATTTGGTCTTTTGACTTCTCGATGTTCTTTTGTGGAACTATTTGAGTGTCTTCTTGATGTTTCGTATGTCTAGAACTATATGGTAGGAATCCATGTAGGTTTTGGTGTCTTGAATCGTGTTAAGTGTTCAACATTGTGTTTCGTTGAACCGTGATAGGTCATATGTGTTCTTCAGAACTACGTTTGGTTTACCCGTTTGATGAGCATGCTAGTTCGGTGTTTAAATGCTAGCGTGTGTGTTGTTTGTACCTTCTTATCGGTTGATGATAACTTGTGTTATTCATCGTTGTTGTTGTTGGGCTGTGACCCACCCCTTGATTGAGTATGGTTTCATATCTTCGTTGTGATCCGTTGATTGATTCCTGTTGAGGTGTGATGTGTGTGTGGCTTTACCTGGATTGCACGATTAGTGGTATGGGACACTAGTCACCAAGGTATTGCAGTGGTCCTCGTGGTGGCCATAACGTGATTATGGAGTTGTGACCTGTGTGTCAGGTTCACGTGTTTTGGAGAAGCGTGTGTCGCCGTGTATGTGATCGGTACCTTGTGTACTATGAATTGGTGGTCTTGTTGGTGGTTTGTTGGTGGGGGACGACGGTTCTAGGAGGGAAAAAGTTGGACTAAGAAGTACAGGGGTCCTGGAGGTAACGGTTGGAACTAGACATAAGGTTGGGGGTAGCCATAAGGTTGGAATCGGGCATAAGGAATGCATATCAACTCGTGATGGGTGATGTCACGAGGGCTTGTGTAGCCGTTGTTGTGAGTTCTCTTCTTGTGACGTGTGTAGTCACAAAGGCATGTGTTGCCTTGGCATGTGTTGCCGTTTGGTGTGTCCTTATTCCTTTGAGTTATGCATGTCGGGTATTAATCTATTGTGTGATGATAGATTATACCTTGAGCCTTCTTGTGAGTCGTTGTTGTCCTTTGTAGTCTTGGGATGTGTTCCCGTGTTCTTGTTGAGAGTGTTTGAGTCTTGTGTTGACTATTACTCTTGGTTTTGGACTTATATATATATGTATTCCGTTTCGAAAATGGCTTTACAAACTTATACCTTATCTATGTATGATATTTCACATGTATTGGTGGGTTACCAGCATTATTCGCTGACCGGGCGTCGTCCCATGTTTTATATGCTTCTTTCAGGTGATGCTTAGACGAGTGCGCGTTTTAGTGCCAGCTAGAGTAGCTCCTCCCTTATGTTTTGTGGCCTGTGAGCCAATTTAGACTTAGTACTTGATGATGTTTGGTTTTAGATTTTGAACAATGCAGATGTTAGCCTGTGCGTTCACCCTTGGGTGAGCGTGGCATAGCACCCCGTTTCTTCCAGTTTATATATTTCCTCTTTCAGTCTTCCGCTGTGTTTGATGTTTTGGTTTAGTTATCTGCATGTTTAAGGCTTTAAATAGCATGGAAATTAGGGGGTGTTACAAAGTGCATGCTGCAATGTGGACACATGTAATGCTAAGTTGACTGCAAGTTTTGAAGCTTGTGGACATGATAAGGAAGATGCACGTGAATTCTTCTACACATCTTTTTTCTCATTTAAATCTCTTGCTACGTATTTCAAATCATTTCAGAAGAAGAAATGTTCGAAGGTATATTTTTACTCAAGCAAGAATCAGCAGCAAATCTTTTGGAAGATTTCATCATTTTGAATCCGTCAAGATAAGGAAATTATTTTTTTGGAGAAGATTCAGCTGATGAGCCGATATGTATGACTTTTGAAGATTTGTCACGTGAGGATTTTCAAACTCACTGTGGAGAACCCATCTCTTGCATTAATTCACCGCAATGCAAGTTGGCAATAATGTGTAGCTGAACAAGATGAACGATCAAGATCAACTAATGCTACAACGGTAATATAGCTTCTTCAGCTATATATACCAGAAGACTTGAAGACATGAAGAAGATAAAAGAAGGCAATACAAGAGAAATACAACAAAAATAGAAGAGCAAAAATTTGAAATATCCAGTTTGAGATTTCACGAGAAATTCTTCAAGTCCTTAGAAGAGAAATTTGTTTTCTCTAAATCTTATCTCTACTGTTTGTAGAAAGAGGGTTAAGTGTAGCTTTGTGCAAGGCACTACCCTGTTGAGTGTAGTTTTGTGCGAGACACTCGTGAGTGTAGCTGTGTGCGAGACACTCGTGGTTGCTGAGTGTAGCTGTGTGCGAGACACTCGGTGGTGCTAAGTGTAGCTGTGTGTAAGACACTTAGTTGGTGTAGGAGTATAACTTTGTGCAAGATACTCAGGAGTATAGCTTTGTGCGAGATACTCGGGATTGAGTGTAGCTGTGTGCAAAACACTCGGGAAGTGCCAGTGTAGCACTTGATTCACTATTTGTATATGGGTGAACGAGATAGTGAATTTCCTCCTTGGAGTTAAAGAAGAAGAGTGGACTAGGAGGATTACACCACCTCTGAACCACTATAAATTGCCTCTCTCTCTCATTTACTTACTGCTTTCATTTATTATTGCATGCATACAAACCCATTTACTATTTGTGTTATTTATTTATCCTATTGTTTGGGTTATGTGACTTTACAAGTGCATGCAGACACAATTCCATTTGGATTCATTCATTGATTCACACGTGATATTGCATACATATTAAGTGAACATCTCTTTAAATATTCATTTGTTGTCTTGCATGTTGAATATTTGACTGACCCATCTTTTACTGTGCGAATTTATTCATCTGGGTCTAGTAGCTTTCACGTATGCATGTGGGCATAAATTTGCATACTTACTATTTGAGCATTTGCAAGCATATCCATCATATTGCATGTGATATATCTCTTTGATTTTACGTAAAACTTTGTTGATAAATTATTCCGCTGCACATCTAAGTTACATATTTTGTTATTTAGAGTTGAAATTACAAAAGTGTTATTAATTGTGAAAAAGTTTAAAAAGTTTATTCACCCCCCCCCCCCCCCTCTCCCCCCCTCTAGACTTTTTACCACCCTATCGGGACCAACAGTACTGAAGGTTTATGTTTTGGCAAATTAATCAACAAATATCTCTTTCTCTCTTAATTCTCTCTCTGTCTTCTCTCTCTACTCGTTTTCCCCTCCCCT